GTTATCTTTTTGTTGCATGAAAACACAGTTAACGTGAGAATCTAAAGTCTTGTTACAATTTTTTTTTTTCTTTTCCTTTTTTTTTTTTTTTTTAGATTTGCAGTTTGTCAACTGGAACTTAGTGTTCTGAGATATCAGTTAAAATAACAAGAGTCTCTACTTGGCTTGCTTAACCTTTTGCATACAGTTGCAATTACGAAGTCATTGCTGAGGCAGATTTCTGGCTTTGGGTTTAGCTCTGTGTGCATGCCTGACAGGCATATCTCTTCCACAGCCTTGTGCTTTTCCTACGAGTCAGACTCATATCCTAGCCAAGGCAAACGTTCCCTGTGTAGCAGATCCTACCCATGCCTGTGGTATATTTGGCAGCTGGTGACCACGATCCTTGTGTGCACCTCCTGCCCTCACAGCAAACAAGGCTGATTAATCTTTTCAGTCTTAGATACACAGCAGAAAGCAATGTGACACCAAGCAGCCTGAAAAGCCACATGAAAGCTCTCCAAACGTCCCCTGCTGCCAAAGCGCTCTGTGATCTTGCTTACATTGAACCTAATTTTTAAAAAACATGTGGTCCCCAGCAAATGTGGGGAGCCAGTCCAAAGGCATATCCTGGGAAAGCCAGTCCAGGCCATGCTCAGGGGCTTTCTGTTCCACCCACATGTTTGGAGGTCTCCTCTCTCACATCCACCACTGTGTCATCTGAGCACAGCTTGCCTGGCACCATCACCAGTGTGCTCTGGTGGGGGCAGTAGATGCTTTCTGGTCCCCGTTTCAGAGCTGGGGGAGCTGAGGACTTGCTGCCTGTGAAAGCCCTGTGGGCAGCGACCACCTGCCTCTCCCAGCTCCCTGCAAGTGCTGTAGCTGCAGGATAGCTGAGCCCATTGGGTCCCTCCCCACGCCCCACACGTCTCACTCACTGTCGAGCCCTTGCGTGTCACCTGGCTCCAGCTGGCGTCGTCCAAAGAGACATTTTCAGTGGCTTCCTTCATGGTGGTGGTGGAAGGTCTTGCTCCCTGTGGTAATTGGACAGTTGTCACTTTGAAAGCTGTGGAAATCCTTCTCCTCTTGGTTTGGAGCTCAGCCCTTTGCAGGGAGCTCTAGCGCAGCACCATTTCTCCTGGCGCGCCGTGTCTCTGCAGCTGGTGTGACCCCGTGGACAGGGAAATATTCCCCTCCTCTGGGACAGAAACAGCTCGGGCTAAAGGTACATCAGATAGCGGCTTCAGCTAATCACTGATCAGTTGTTCTCAGGAAGAAGAAAGAACTGGGAGCCTCACTGTTTTCTTTTGGGTGGCAAGTGCCGGGGGCAGCGACCTGCTCTGACCGGGGGGAGCTGCTCCTGCCTGGTGCTGCGGGAGGCATGGTGGTGGCAGCATCAGGCACCTGGCCAGCAGCGTGAAGGAGGGAGGGAGGCTGTGGAGCCCCAGCACCTGAGGATGTCGGGCAGAGTGTTTCCTGCCCTGGAGAAGAGCAGCAGCAGTGGGCAGACAGACGAGGTGAAGGCTGCGGCACAGCCCCCTGACAGCATCAGTGTCCAGGGTGTCTCCTACACCATCAGGTAGGGCTGGCAAGGGTGGTATGGTGGGCTCCTGCCTGCCAAGAGTGGCACTGGCCTTAGGGGCTGAGGGGAGCTTGGGGCTGGCACTGGTGGGCTGTGGGTTTGGCTTCAGCCCAACACAGGAGGAGGGATGTTGCCAGGCTGCCCAACTCCTGGTGCTGGGCTGTGTGCCACAGGGGCAGAGCGCACAGCTCGAGGGAGGCACAGCCAACCTGTCCTCCAAAGGGCTCACCACTTCTTCCTCTCCTGTCTCTGAAGGACTTGCTTTAGAGATTTCCAAAGATTGTGCCCTTTCCCGCTGCCTTTTTCATTGCTGTCAGAAGGATAACGTGAAGCCCTAAGAAAAGGGCCAGGTGGATTATTGGCTGGCAAACACTGTCAGCAAATAAACAGTTCATGTTTGCCCTTTTGGTTGTAGTCCAAAAGCCTTTCAGCAATCATTCTTGAAATTCTGTTCAGACCTTGGTCTATCTTCCAGATAGTGCTGAAGTTAAAAAGTTAAAGCCTGGGGAGTGAAAGATGGGAAAGTTTCTGATTTTTTCATATTTTCAAATTCTTGCAGTCTCCTATCCCACATGTAGTGAAGTAGCTATCAACCATTCACTTGCTTTATGTTAAGTTATTAAATATTCTCTATTTAATTTTGATTGATGTTTGTTTTCCAAGAGAGCGTGTTGGCCCGTGGTGGAACTTCTCTTTGTATTGTAAAAAATGGACCCGGCAAATACTGAAAGATGTTTCATTTCACATAGAGAGTGGCCAGATTATGGGGATTTTAGGAAATTCTGGTAAGTCATTCCAGTACTTTAAACAAGATAAGATCAGAGTTAATACCAGTGGCTTCCATAGTGGTATGAATGTGATTGAGGCCTGTGTTTTAAATAATTGAAATTGCACCCAGTCTTAACATCTGCTGTAAAACTGTGGTGCTTGGCTTTCAGAGTTCAATCTTCTGTCATCTGTAACTTCAATAGCAGACAAGATTACTTCTAAATTCAAATGTTTCACTATGAAGTGTGAACTTGTATGAATTAAATGCTAATTTACATTCTAAGTTTCCCATTTCCTTCCCCTTAACTAGCTACATTTTCCAGACCTATTATTTAATATACTGAGGAAAAAAAATTCTTATTTTCATACATCTCTATCCAAATCATGCTGCACTCTTGAAATCACAAAATTCGTCTCATGAGATGATTCATTTCTTTTGAAAGGATCTGGGAAAACAACACTTCTGGATGCAATATCAGGAAGACTGGGACATAAAGACAACTTCTTTGGTGAAGTGTACGTGAATGGACATCAGCTGAAGAAGGAACAGTTTAGAGATTGCTTCTCTTATGTGCCACAGGTTGATTTCTACATTTATTTCTGTGTAGTGTGCTTTCTCTCATGTAAGGAGAGTTGCTAGTGTAATGAATTAATGTAATCTGACTGTGATTTTGCTAGGAAATTTGGTACAAATCAGTTAATAAACTGTATGAATGAATTAAGCTTGTGTGAAGAGGGGAAAGATAATAATTACTACAGGACTAACTGTTTCTTTCTCTTCACTTTTTTTTCAGAGTGACACTTTGTTAAGCTTTCTCACCATACAAGAGTCTTTGACCTACACAGCTTTACTAACACTTAAGAAATGTTCCAACAACTTCATCAAAAAGAAGGTCTGTGTTTTATCATCTTCCACCAGAAAGGCAGACATGATGTCATGTAATGCTTTCACCAGCAGCACTTTCCATCCATGGCTGTGTTTTACATTTATAGGGTTTTGTAATCCTCATGCTGCAAATGGGGAGAAATCCTCCTGCTGAGGAACAGGACACAAGCTCTCTGGGGTTCCCTGCCTCTGCAAGAGGCTTGTGCTGATGCCCCAGGGAATCACCATTACGCTGGGACAAAACCCTCCCACCCAAAGCTGCAGCAGTTACTGCTGCAAGAGATGCTGCTGTTGGCATTGAGGTCGGTTCCCCTTTGCCAGCTGGGTAAGCACAGTTCTCTGGAGTGTTTAGGACTATGTGTACTGGCAAGTCTCATGAACAGCAGAAGTGACTTTGACAGCACTCCGGGTCCTGTAGGATGTCTCTCACTAACCAGAACAGCTCAAAAAAAGCCCTGGTCCAATAAGCCCCCTGTGAGCTAACTTTGTCAATGTGTTTCAGATCTATTTAAAGGATTCTTTTTGGAATCTGTTTGGAGTAAAGACCAGATATTCCTGACCAAAGCCTCTTGCTCTCTGTCTTCTCTCATCATCAATCTTCCACTCAGTGTTTTATACTTCCCTGGAATTGAAGTGCCTTTCTGCTTCCCTATTTTGGAAGCCAGACCAGCATTATGCTTCATACCTTAACTTCTACTCTCACCTCTGAACGCTTCACCTCTGAACTCTTCACCTCAGAATGTCAACTGAAGCTAAAATTTACTCATTTCAGAATACAGGAAAATAAAATTTTAAAAATAATAATTTAAATAGAATATCAAATATAATCAAACAGAAATGAGGCCAGATCCCTTCCAACTAGAATGGATGCAAGTAGGATAATGGGAAATTTATAGCTTAAAATTGGATCTATTTTTGCCATTGCACACAGGTATCTGAGTTGCACTTTGTTTAGTCTCTTGAAATTGTAATTATTTTTCAGGTAGATGCAGTCATGGCTGAGCTGAGTCTCACTCACATTGCTGACAAAATAATTGGAAGCCGGAATATCGTAGGAATTTCTGGGGGCGAGAGACGTCGGGTATCAGTTGCAGCCCAGCTATTACAAGATCCCAGTAAGTACCACTGCATGGATTTTCACAAAAAAGCAAAGCTGTGTCACTTTGTGCTCCTGCCATAGGCCTCCATAAACCACTGTAGAATACAAAATTATTTACATTCTGTAATCAGCAAAAGCTAATCTAGTAATGACAGAAAAGGACGAGCAGTAACCGAGGTCTGCCATTAATCTGTTCATGGATCTAGGAAAGCAGAAAATTTTAAAATCTTAAGGACTAAACATAAGTTTAGACTTGCATTTGTCCATTTAAAATCTTTCTTGGTTCACTTTTCCCATGGATGCAATGTTGGCTGTGGCTTTTAAGCACATTAGAGCCATATATATGCAAGCATCAAGCCTTATAGTGGAGTAGCTGCCATTGAGCTGGGTATGTGTGAGCACCATGTATGTCCCAGACAAAAATATCCCAATTAATTAAAATCAGAGTATCTATAGAAGGATTAGCTATGGGGAAAAGCACTATAAATGCTCTCAGTTTTGAGATAGTTTCTTAAAGGTGCCAGAATTTTATGTAGTGAATGTACAGCAGTCATTTATTGGATGCTGGAGTTCTTGTAGCAATGTAGATGTGCTAGAACTGTGTATCAGGCACGAAGGAGAACTGAAATAGCAAACTGAGGTGGATGAGTGCTACTGGTGGCTCCTGGAGAGTTCACTGGGTGTAATTATTGCTCAGTAAGTCACTAAACTCTATAGTAAACACTATAGTAATCCTGTGTAGATAAACCTATAGTGAAAGCTTTCCTCCCCTGATCAAGCTTGGACTGCCCTCTCCTGTGCTATGTCTCGAAAGCTTTCCTCCCCAGATCAAGGTTGGACTGCCCTCTCCTGTGCTATGTCTCATATATATAAGAATAATGGTTTTGACTGTAAGTTTTTCCCTTCCATGTGCAATAAAATAATGAAGAAAATACATTAACTCCCTCCACTCACATCTGTGGAATTACATATGCCATATTTTAAAAACTCTTGGTTTGTTCATGACAAATGCTATGTGTATATAGAGACTGCAGATTTTAACTTCTAGCTAATTTTAGTCAGTTATATTTAACTATGTGTATATAGAGACAATGCAGATTATAACCTCTAGCTAATTTTAGTCAGTTATATTTACATGCATACTGAATTCTATTATTACTATTATTGTTCTTAGAAGCAGATGTATGACATACTGAATTTTGTTATTATTATTATTGTTCTTAGAAGCAGATGTATGCATCAAATCTGATTGGTAATTTTCAGATTTCATCTGAATTTAGAAAAAAAAGTTTGTGCTTTGATCCTGTAATGTTTTCTGTATCTGCTTATTCCTAGTCATTAAAATGTTTATGCTTTGATCCTGCAATGTTTTTTGTATCTGCTTATTCCTAGTCATTAAAATGGAACCACTGGAGCTAACTAAAACTGAAAGATCATATCATGGCAATATTATGCACAATCTGCTTTACATGTGGAACTTCACGTGTAAATTAATTTATATATTTTTTTGCCAAATTGACTTTCAAGGCAGAAGTTAGAACATTTGTGTGTAATTTCTATATTTTTTTGCCAAATTAACTTTCAAGGCAGAAGTTAGAACATTTGCTCCACATTTCCCTGAATTTTAAAGCTGTTCCTTGTCATTTGACAGAGGTCATGGTACTTGATGAGCCTA